CCCTGTCGCTCTCCTCATATCTCGGAGGTGTCAGCCACCCTCATCTCCTCATTTTCCTCCTTGCGAAATGAATGATGTCAAATCGATGATGCCAGCGACAGGCGCCGTCTGAATGACTGATCTGAATAAAATGGGCACGGCACCATTAGGAAACAAAAAGCTTGCTTTTATCCAGCGGCTGGCAGACTTGGCTTCTCTCCCCGGCTCTTTTCCTTTCCACTCTCTCCGTGCTGTGTAGTGCGGCGTAAGCACAGCTGTCTGAAAGCAGCATGAAGGATGGACGGCTCTAACAGAAGGGGGGAGGCGAGGACCCCGGGGGACGGCAGCGTTAACTGGGTGTGGCATGGCCCGGTTGCGTTTTTTTGGCTACACTGAGAGCAGATGTGGCCAAGCTGCAGGCTGCCGCTGAGTGTCTGGCTGTTGGCCATGAAGTGGAAACACTGTGACCTGGCCAGCTAGGCGGATCATTTTGACTTTTACCTTTACTTATTCAGGGAAAGTTTAACGCACCTCTGCAGTCCTGGTGCTAAAAGGCTCCACAGCTAAAAGATAATTCTGGTTTGTTACAACTTGGCAATGCTAGAAGAAGCATCTTACCGTTAAATTATTCCTCGAGTGACGATTAAAAGTCTTGCATTGAAAATCCAGCCCAGATGCAAAAACTTTTGCATCTATGTTAACGTTATAGTGTTTAAGTCGCTCTTGGCGCTTTTGGCATTTCAAAACTAGAGTCTAGATTTAGGGAACAAAACCAATTTGGATAGTTATTATAAAACATGTTTTGGGTTAAAATGAGTAGATTTCAAACAGGACACAAACACCATTAAATGTATTTGTGATATGTGATGTACAAATGTAATGCGGGACAAAATTCATTCATTATTCATTTTTGTATGTTAAGTATTAGGCAGCAGAATGACCCCTTGTAGTGTGTGATATTATTTGATTACTATTATGAATGTAGCACTGTGCACGCAGCATTTTATGTTGTAGTTGGTCCAACTAAAGCTTAGTTTTATTCAATGTACTCAAGTGAGGCTGAAATCTAGGAATATGGTGACATCACTAGCAAGTATGGAAGCAAAATAAGGACATTAGAATTTAAATCGTGTAAATTAACTGACTACCAAATTGTGAAAGTTACTCGCTACTTAATATTAACTTTTAAAGGGGGGAACTGGATTAGGTAGAAGAGGGTTTGGACAGAAATTTTAGAGGTGTCAGGAAGAAAGATTTGAATTGATAGATTTCTAAATAGAGAATGCTTTTGACTAAAAATGTAGGAGGAATTGGAAAGGAATAAAAGCATTCTTGTTCTTAGCTTGGATGCTATGGGATTGGAAGAAAATAGTTGCACTTCAAGGTTTGGGGGACACCACTGTTTGTGTCCCGGGTGGAACACCGCAGACTTATTTTACCGTAACAAATGTATTGTTTTAACCAAACTATAAACTTTTATTAAACCTAACCAATGGGTTTTGTAGCGTAAGTTAACCTAAAAACTAAGTAAACCTATGTTGGGAGTTTGTTTTCAAAAGAGTTTATATGCATGTAATAAGTAACAAACTGTATTTTTCCCATTTCCTCTGAACTTGTGACCAAGCAGCTGTATTTGACCAGTTGAGGCTAAGAATGTGTTTCTGCCTCCCATGCACTCCATAAATGACTTTGGAGCTGAACACAGGCACTACTTGTGCACCGACAAGGACAAACCACGCTCACTAAAAATACATTTCCTGACTTGTCGGATCAAGCACAATGGAAATCAATGAACACCTTTAAATAAGATATTGCCTGAAAGCTTCAAGCTCAGATCCTCAACTGCTTTCACCTTTTCTGAAACCATGATGCACTTCTTCAAACAACTCTCTGTTTCCATTCCCCAAAACACTCACAGCCTGCTCCAGCTCATAATCCCTCAGGCGAGTTTTGGTTGTTACTTAAATCAAAAACCGTTGGCTCTGAAATGAGCTAGATTGTGTGAACTCCTTGGCGGCACACAAGTTGATATTCCCCCCCCATGCTGCCCAGGGACATTGACAGCCGCTCTTTGTCCCATAAACATCTCGGCCCCTGACGCCTGCTTTTAGCTAGATTGAATCCAACTTCAAAATGAACTCATGAGGCTATGCCGCTGCCTCAAAGTCCAGGACTCTCTGCTGTAACAGAAAATGCATGTACTGTACCGTGAATATGGTGTAACTCAAAACTGAGTTGGGTCATGTCGGCGGATGGTGTTGTTTGCCAACACTATATTGAAAATGGCCCGTTCAAGTTCATGGGTGGAAAGTTAATTGCCTTCCACCCTCAGGAGGTTGTCTGGCAGTTTTGCAGATGATGCAAGAGCATCCATGTGTAGCATTCAAGCGGCAGGATTAGCGAGTCCTATGCCCTGACCAATGGGCTATCCTGATCCTACCTTCTCCAGGTTAATGCCTATTCTTCATAAATAATAATTACGCAGCCACACAGTCGATCTGATCAGCTGTGACGAATCACTTTCCAATACGTACCTATACCTCTTCTGGTCTCACGTGTTTTTTCTTTTGCCGCTGTGTTTTTCACTTCAGGGCCACCGTAGCTTCTGCACCTTCTTTCAGCTTGTCCTCACTGAAGTGTTTCTGTCCAGTGACATTCTTTGTCTGAAGGACACTGGCGCTCAGCCAAGAGCTTCTGCTGGGCCCGCACCAGCCGTTTAATTGAAACAGTGTTAAGAATTTTCTTTTGGCACCAAAGCCCGACCAGAAAGGCCGGCGGACCTGATAAAAAGGGATTAGGAGGAACGCGTTGCGGGGAATATTATGTTGAGTGTGACGCGGCGGCTTGTGGAGGAATTAGTAAAGCCCTGACCCATCCTGGGTGGGTCAGGCAGAAGGACAAACCAATGATTAATGGAGTAGTCAAAGGCTACACTTAAAACCCATTTCACAACAAGAGCTGTGGAATATTAAACACTGGTCCGCCTCGGCACCACAAGTGGTACAATAAACCACCTCACTCACCTGCAGTCCGACCCAGTACTGTCTGCAGAGATCATCACAAATAACCCTCAACAGCACACATCTAGAATTCATGTCATTGTTATGTCATAGTTAGATTCTTTTTTTTGTACTTTTGCATCAGGTTGAGTCTAGAAAATACAATTTGCTAAATACCAAATTGCAATGGTTGAACTTAACTAAATACAAATACAATAAATAGCTCAGTGTCTGCTGGATGTGCGATGTATTGGCCACATCTTCTTTATGAGGAGAAATATAATAATATATATATTATAATTTATTTACAGTGTTCCGTTGCCCCTAAGCAGTTACAAATATATTAATGCAGTTTAACAGTTTTTCACAATTGCTAAAAAACTATTTTGTAAACTATAGGGCCCTCTTTGTCGAAGCTCTACACACAAAACCCCAAAACATATATACGCAAATGGTCTTCCATTTCTTGCAAAAGCAAACACCTCATTCGAAACTAAATAAACTCTTCTAAAAATGGTATTTTTGCATCAAAACTTTACACACAAACAGCAAATATATAACTCCCTCCTCATGCCAACTGCACACTGATGTGCTACTGTAAGTATAAAACACTATTATCTAGTCTGACATTTTTATTCGGAGCATTCTGTAAAAATAGACTGTGAACATGTATGCAACGTGTTTATTCTTAATACTCTCATAACAGTATCAGACTTTAACTACTTTAACTGAAGATGACATGAACGTAGTTACTGTATTGTGCTAAACAAAATACAGTATATTGCCGTTACAGTCCTCTAACTCTCCATTGATGATCAAACATGAATACTATCTATAGTGCTCAAGCTCTAATTCCAAAGTGATTTAATTGGTCACAGGTGTGTTCCCTGTGCATTCTGGGTGCAGATGATTGCTAATTGAGTGTGCTATTTCAGTGGCAGTGTTTAGCATATAACACACGCAGGCTTTTAGTTTAGAATGGCATGTCTAACGTGGATGACCGTGTGTTGTAGAACCTGGTCAATTCCATTTCATGCTACTTTCAGCAGCAAATAATGCAGTTTTTAGTCCCCTACATTTATTTCACACAGTTACTGGACAAACAAAATTTGATTAGCTTATGAAATGCGACAAAAATAGTTTCTACTAAACTCCTGATGGTATGTAAAATAGTAATTAGTGCCTCAGGACTGACGGGATGAATCTTGGAGGGGAAAGTGAAAAAAACACTTGATACGTAAATGAAATGTAGAAATGTAATATCATTTATATGTCAGGATCTATTTTGCATACTAAGTATTTTTTTTCTTACTTGTATTTATTTTACTTGTACTTGAGTAATTTTATATTGTGTTGTTGGTACCAAAACATCTGAACACTAACACGTAGTTACAGTCTTTCTTTAACTGAATCAAACAGAAAATATCCTTCATTTTCATGGAATCACTCAAAATGAAGATTTTTGACACAACTTTATTGTGCTTGTTAATTCAGGTCATAAATAATACCAGCCTGACTTCCAACAGACCAGCTTGTCCACAATCCTTCCACTGCTCATTTCAGTGGACGGACCCATCACTGAATCGATTCCCTAAGACGACGCGTTACACTGAAGTGAAACGTGGCTTGAAGACCATTTTAGTGTAAACCCACATTACCGTGACTCCATTTCAGTTTTACATACACAGCGGGCTGCTTCAAGGTGGATTAAGGCTTGCCGCTGTGAAACTAAAGTTATTCTCAGCCCCATCACGGCCCTGTCCTCAATACCAAAGCACTTTATAAATAGGCAACCAAATGGGGCACTGTTACATCTGAGCCTTGTGTCGTGCAGTCACGCTGAGTTTTTCATTGAGAGGCTCCTGAAAGATAATCACAGAGAGCATTTTACAGTGATGTTACTGAGTTCCATGTGATTTTTGCAGCTCTCCATGGGCCAAATATTGCGGTTTATAAACCCTAGTTTCCCAACACCATATTTACTTTACAGCTAATTTTCCAGCTTTCCCCTGTTTTCTGCAGGTGTGTGACCAGCTTGGCATCGGTTTATCGGTCCCAGAAGTGACTGAGCGGAGAAGAAAATCTGCTGTATTCAAACTGCCCTCCAGTGGAGACATCGTGTACCGCACCCACGCTGCTCTCTGTCCCAGCTCACCCTTAGCGTCCAGTCGGTGTGTGTCTTACTGTTGACCACCTCCACCACCACTGCAGTCGGTTAGCAGAGGACATGTGTACGACGGAGAACAGGTGAGTATTTATGGTCTCTATCTAAACGGTTCCAATATAAGATGGGTGAACTTGATTTCCTTGTGTGGCTCTGCTGTGTCAGCTGCCCTCTTGAGATAAAATAAAGTAACTGTTAACACTGGATGGTGTCTCTTTCAGCGGCTTGTTTCTCTCACTGAAGATGAACTCCTTCCTCCGTGCCGCACCACAGTGCCGTGAGTGTGTGTGGGTGGGGAGGGTCAGCTGGTGTTGTGAATCAGGCCGCTGAGGTGTCGAGACACGGCTTCTTCACAACACCAGGGTTCCTCCCCTCCGCTTCCTGCTAAGATGTATGGCACAAGTCAAAGTTGTAACTAACTGCTATCTGCAAAGTGTTGTAACTGTAGGAAGTGGATACTGTTTCTGTGTATTATTTCTAGTGTGACTAAGGATTTTCCGTGTGCCATAACTTTGTGTAAAAATGTTTGTGCTCATTTGAGTCCATTGCAAATGCCTTTCTTAGTCAAGTTTATTTTCTGTCTTTTATAAATACCAATGATGTCACACACAATGTCACAGATGCTCAGTGTTTTTTTCACCTCACTTTCTTAAAATACGTGTCAGCATCTTGGAGAACCAAGAGTGAGACAGACTGATGCAAAAGAGGCCAAGAACGATCGTGATTCTAGAAACAGGCCTAATGGTTAAGGCACATGCCACATCACCATTTTATAAGAGCTAACTCGAGATTACATTACTTGTTGAGATGTTTTGCAACATTTGTATTGAACACTGTTGACGATCAAATGCAGAGTAAATCATATGCATTTGGCTGAATAGGGCTTTGTCTTGGAAGAGTGCTCTAGCATCAGACAATGGTTGGATTCTGTCCATACATATAGCGACTGCTGGCAGCACCACATCCGTCTGTACAGCTTCGTCCATAGATTTTCAGTCTTGGCTCTGAAATCCCTTTTCCTATATAAGTGTCTTTAGTACTGTAACTGTTTGAGTGGTAAATAAACGTCTTGTGACTGAAGGAACAATATCTGTGTCTTTGTGTCATTATTAACTCTCATCAAGGAACATTTGTGACACTTTCTATAATTAAAAAGAGTACACCATTGTTGCATTGTACAGCTTTTACTAGATAGATCTTTTACAGATGCAGATAAATAAAAGCTTGGCAACACAGAAAAATGGATGAAAGGAAGAGAAAAGCACAGTGAAAATATAAAACCATTCTTGTGTCATTAACAGCTCACATGTAGCTGGAATATTTTAGGGTTCACTTAATTATGAAATGAAACATCACACGCTGGTCTTATTAATTTGGGATACTTCATTCAGGTAGGAGATGAATAACTTGGTTCCCTCGATGTAGTTGTACCTAAGAGAAAAACGTTTAAAAAAAGACAAGGGTTAATAAACATAATTTTGGACTAGACAATCTGCTGCATTGATGGAGACATTCAGTGAAAAAAGCATGTATGGAACAACCTGCAAGTCTCATTTATATCATATTCTATAAACGTCCACCATAGTTCATAGCAATGCCATTATAGTCCCTGTTCTGCTTTTGTTGTTTTTGCATGTCTACCTTTAATTATATTCATTCCCTATCATCTTGCAGTCATAACGATGAATATTAGGTGATGGGATTATTTAATTTCTTGCGGATGATTAAGAGAAGATAAAGACGCGTGAGCCCTGGAGGTCCACATGCCTGCATCTTACCTACTGATAAGATCACACCTTCTCTCCTGCAGCTTGTGCTCATACTAACACTCCCAACAGACCCAACAGGCAAGATGAACTAATAAAGGTTCAATATAAAACTTGCTGTAAAAATGAAATAAAAAAAGGAAATATGTGTGAAACCTGCTCATTTTCTCATTCTGAGAGTGCAGCCCGTCGTCAAAGCCACCAATGGGTATCATGATGATGCTTTTCCCCGTCACATCCTGGAAGGTTCTGGCGATAGGAATGGTCCCACCCTCACGTATCAGATCAGGATCCATGTCAAAAACTGGGCAAGGTAGGACATTTTATATTATAGTGTAATGGACATGACTCAGTTATCTACCACAGATTAAAACAAAGCAAAGGACTGAAAACAAACTATAGAGGCATATAACACGAAATATAAAAGCAAAGTAAGAGCTATAAAAGAGAATCCAAAAGCAGTAATAAATGGCAACACCAGAAAACCACCTCCGTACGAATTTGGTGGTGATGGTGTGTTCTGTACCTCTCTTTACAGCAGCCTTCCCAGCGTCATAGAGAGGATGCTGAGTGTCAGCCAGCCAAGGCTTCGCCCCTATCACCATTGTGACCTTCAGCTTATTGGGACTCCTTCGCTTGGCAAACACCGAGTGAAGGTAATCTGTTACCTAAAGCATCAAACCAACAAGATAAGAGCACAAGTACTTTCTGAGAAAAAAACATTTGCTTGTTCTAAAAAAACAGCATTATTTGGCTATTTTTTTCAAAGCAGAGACTTCACATCCTGTTTTACCTGTTTCTTGACCAGAGCAGGGTCCATGTTGGGAACTTGTCTAATGGAGAACTTAGCGGTAACCTTAGCAGGGATGACGGTCTTTGTGCCAGGGTCAGAGAAAGCCCCATCGATGCCATGGATGGTGACGGTGGGGTAGCGCCACATGTGGGCCAACAAGTCCACCTGCAGGAAACAAACAATGACCATCACGCATCTGTTGTGTCCACCTTGCCTTTAACGCAGATTATTTCTACCACTTTCGATATTCTGACCTTATTGGTGTACATGAGCTGGCTGACACCGATCTTGGTCTTGTAGTTGTCCAAGTCAAATTGGATGTCCTGATACATTCTCCATTCCTCATCAGAGAGGGGAGCCACGGCCTCCCTGATCCCTGGAATCAGGATCTTACCACTGGGGCTGATCAGTGTGTCTAAGACAAAAAGTTACAAAAGAAGAATTTTGTTGTGATTTTAACCCGCATCCTTCCAACATATAAAGACTACCGACTGGGAACCCCAAGAAGAAACTACTGTAAGATACAACCGCCATTGCAAAATGTTAACTTATTTCTTCTCAAAATATTTGTCATGCAAAAACATGTCGAGGGGTTTAAAACATTTAAATATCTTACCTGACTTACCTGTAAGTCGTAATTTAGTATTATAATATATTTGTGCATATTCATGCCTGGAAGAATCTTGTAATGCGATATCAGACACCCCTAAAGTGGACCATACCATTCTTAACCTTGACGTTAGGTCAACGTCTCTCCTGCTGTAGGTGAATGTAAGTCGCACACTTTGTTGGTGACTACCAACTACAAAAGATGTTGTGTGGTCTGTGCCCCATTAGCTGGTGTAGTAGGTTTGATTCATCATCATCTACAGAGTGGTGACATTACGTTACACTAGATTTATGTCTTCAGTAGGAACCAGTGGGCTTTGAGCTGAGTGCCACAGACAGGGTCAGGAAGTCAGAAAGTATTGAGAGCCGGGCTAACATCATTGTTTGTTGTGGTTTTTTCATGGTATTTGTTGACAATACGAAATATGCAAAGCAATGCTAGCTTTATCCTGCCTTTCTGGTCCGGTCTTCTTAAAGAGATGATGCAAGTCATGAGATTTACTGTTTTAGATAAAGGTTCAAAAATAGAATTCAAATTTTTTTGCCCTGCGGGTACCTGGCATAATGTCGAGGCTTGGTCCAGTGTCTTATCTTCTTGTGAGTGACTTCATAAATGAATGTATGAATGTGCACTACCTAAAAAATACACTCACCAAGAATGCCAATGAGGTCAGTCATCGGTTCAATCACGGTGCCTCCGTAAACACCGGAATGTAAGTCCTGTTTAGGTCCTTGAACCTGAAAATGCACCACGAAAGAGCTGAATGACACACATATGACCAAAGAATTAGGAAGTATGTATCTGAAACTAAATGTTTCAGTTTGGACATGTGTTGTTTTTTGTGTGTGCTTGTGTGTGGAATGCTACACAACCTCAGCAAAGAAGTAACAGTTGCCTCTGGTGCCGTAGGTGAGGGCGGGCCGTCTGCTGAGCCAGCCGCAGTCTGAGATGATGATGTAATCCACGTCAGAGAAGAAGGTGTCCCTCTGTGCCACGATCATGGCGTCCAGGCCGTTAGAGCCCGTCTCCTCCATGCCCTCGATGACGAACTTCACATTTACCGGCAGCTCCTGGTAGACAGATGGGACAGACAGTGCTACTCCGTCACGAGCTGTTGGAGGAGAATCTCATCTGCAAACTCCGGTTCTTCCGAGTGAAGCCAATGCGGAAGTGTCTTAAAACTTGCATTCTCTCTACTGACCAGCAGGGGGCGACTCCTCTGGTTGTATAGAAGTCTATGAGAAAATGACTCTACTTCTCTCTTGATTTATTCCCTCAGTAAACATTGTAAACATGAGTTTATGGTCTCAATCTCTAGTTTCAAGTCTTCTTCAGTACAGCATGATGTTCATTTAGTAAATTATGGTCCATTTAGAGTCACATAGACCATAAAGCAGGGCATGCTTTAGGGCGGGGTTACTGTGATTGACAGGTCGCTGCCACTACCAGAGACGTATACAGTGTCTCCATGTCACTCCTTCGCATTCCAAATATGGTAACTTCTGTTCATTGGCTGCAAAAAAAAACACGGCGACGGCCGTAATCCAAGATGACGATGGCAAAATCGCCGAAGACGAGGCTTCAAAACGTTTTTTGACAATGCCTTTTTACAAATGTAATGGTGTTTCAGCAGGGTTTGTGGATCTAAAATCCCGAGCCATTAACCACGTGTGAAACTAGTCGACACACACACAATTTCTCTCTCCTTAATGCATCCAGCATCTGGCTGAGGCCTTTTGATGTGCATATTCAACTGCGTGTTGTTGTTTTCACGAGATAAAATGGCAGCGAGGCTGGTGGGAACAGACTGCTGCAGTGACTTTGCAAAAAAAACCGCAGTGACTTTGCAAGTCGGTCTGGCCAAAGCTCAGCTCTTCTCTCTCACAAGCCTGAGGATATGCAGTTTATCCTAGCAGTAACTCTTTCTGTGACGGCCATGTCTATAATGCCTTATGAACATACTTATGTGTTATAACTTGTTTATAGCACTGTATAGTTATAGATGTGTCATAAATATCCATTATACAACAACAATCATAATACTTAAGCATTGTCATTGACAGATTTGTTTTTGCAAGGATCATAGTATATTTCCATAGTTGTTATATATCATAATCATTTTATAATGGATTATAATCACTGTTATAATCCTTTGCAATTTGATTATAAATTAAGATTAGTGGTTATTGTTTCCTTTAAGTGATGTAAAGAATTATTTTAACGTATTTACTTAAAGCTAACAATGACCACGAGTACCTCAAAATCACATTATATTGCATAAAACTGTGATTTGAATACATTATGTCAATATTAAAACACAATGGAACTCTGTAAAAAAAATGTACGTTGCTTTAAGCAGATTTAACGCATTATAGACATGGCTGTCATAGAAAGTGTTAGCGTTCTCGCTAGTCTATCTTGCCTCTCTCTATTTCCCCTCTTTCAATTTACAGCGCTTTCAACTGAAGACGATTTGCAAAGGAGCGCTCTAATTATTCCTTTGGTCTCACTTGAGGTCACATTGCCTCTGCAGCTCCGATCCCACTCACACATTTGATTCTGTTATCTGTGGAATGCAAAAGTAACCCGATACAATGGCGGTATTGTGAACTTTCTCTCACCATACTAAGGGCCCGGTACGCCCCCACAGCATGGATCCAGGCTAAAACTGGGGCCTTGTTGTCCGACACTCCTCTTCCATACAGGTTACCTGCATGCACAAGAATCATGATATAAGTATGGGTGTGCTTTAAGACTTGTGCTCACGTGAAGTGAAGTACAGAATGTGACAACAAGCGGTGAAATTGATTTCGGAAAAGCTGCTTATATATACTGTGTATATAAAAATGTTTGTAATACTGTTTTGTTGCATGGTTGATTTTTCCTGTTTAGTTATGGATGTAACACACTGTTTGCATTACACATTTGACCAACATCTGACATTAAATTATTGAATTTATCTAGTCTAATCTAACCACTTGTTATCACGTGACTGAAGTTCCAGACGTAGATCACATAATGACAACAGAATAATTTCATTGACAACTGGGGGAAACTATCCACTGCTGACATAAAGGAAGGTCTGTAGTGGTTGCTTGTGTATGCATTGGTTTTGAAAAGTAGCACAGCAGCCACTACAATGGACCCTACTGCATCGAGCCATACACTGCCATCCACTGGCCAGCCGTTGTAAGTGCAACACAAATTCCTCAAAAGCAAAATGGCTGCCGGGTGGGCAGAAAGGCTGAGCAGCTCAGGAATACCTTGCCAGTCCCTCTTCAGCAGATGACTCTTGCAGGTGAATGAATGCCAGTAGATGAGTATGCCTGTGACTATGTAGGACGTTTATGACATTATGCTATGACTTCTGTGGGTTTGTTCAATGTTTGTTTGCACAGCATGAGTTGGTCATGGTGTGCTTAATTAAAGGCTGTTACCATTGATGTCGGTCAGGTTGTAGGGGTCCGTCGCCCAGCCGTCCTCCAGCTTCGCCGGCTGGACATCCACATGGCCGTAGACGCACACCGTGTGTTTGGTTGGGTCGCTGCCAAACAGAGCTGTCACTACTTTAGGCAACGCTAACGTCTGCCCGTTGGGGAGCTGCGGATGATTTAAAGGCGAGTTAGCATCAGCACGAACTGCTGCAGTGTCCCTCAATCATTGGGATTTTCACTTTTCTCAAGTGCAACAAGTGTTTCAACAGTTGTATACCATCTAACCAGTACTCCATTAGCTACACAATCAACTCAATCTGTGTATATTTCTCAAATATCAAGAAAGTAAAAGCCATGCATTTCAAATATGTCCAACAGTAAAAGCACTTATTATGCAAAGTGGCCCTTTCAGAATATTATAGATTTTATTATTGGATTATATTGTTGATGCATTAATGTGTTCATCACTTTAATGTTGAAACTGGTGAAGGTGGGGCTAATGTGAATTACTCTCTAGGCTATATGCCACCGAGTAGTTTAGTCTACAATAATACATCATAACTTATTAGTTGGTTTTATTTTGTATTAATAATCTGAATCGGTAAAGTAACTAACTCTACAAAAATACATTTAGTGCAGTAAAAAATGTGTTGTAATAGAAGTATAAATTAGCAAATCAGTAATTTCTTTTAAATCACTTCATAAAACCCATGTTTACAGACTGGCCTTTATGTGATGTCATCGCTTTACTGCTTTATTTTATTATTCATTTTACTAAATTATTTTATTTATTTCTTTGTTTATTTTTGATGTCTCGATTGGTTTTATCGTTTCATATACTGTAGTGATTTATCAGGGTTTAACCTTGTTGGGCCTCACTGTTGAGCTTGCTGCTGTTGTATTGCCTTGTGTTTGCTGCTTTCTCTGTCAAAGGACTTTGTAAACTCTATTTACAAAAGGTGCTTTATAAATAACGTTATTATATAAAATTGAAACGCTAAAGGAGAAGTAATTCAAAATTGTACTTAAGTTCAGTACTTGAGTACATGTACTTAGATTCCACCGCTGAGTAAATGAGAACTTCTCACAGGATTTTTAAGATGTCTAGTTAATTCAGAAAAACAGGGCAAATATGTTTTCCTTAAGTGAACGCATTAAGCTTCCATAAAGAGAAGTGCTGCTGCTGCTCAGTTTATTTATTTCAAAGGGTCATCAGCTACTGTTTTTACTCTTCACTGAGACAATACACTGCAGTAACAATGCATGCCAGGTTGGTCCTTATTACTGGCGAGAAGCTGAGGATGTTGACCTCTCGTTCGAACCTCAAACATCATAAAATGTGTAATGAGTTTTGGAAGCAGCTTTCATGTGTCTTCGTCAGTAATGAGGAAGTAGATTTAGTCCTGACCGCTCAACTTCCTTTTTGAAGTTACCAGCTTGTTTACCCGCTGTCGCCCCTCCCGATGAGCCAAGCTCACTGTTTGAAATACAAACTATTTACCAACCAATTTGGGCAACGACTACATTGCAAAGCTCTAATATCTCACTAAGGCATCGAGTCGGCCCTGTCACTGACTTCTTGCTCTCCGATGTCCACCAGTTCGACAGTCCCTCCCATGAGCCTCAGCTTCTGAGCCACCACCTCCATCATGCGGTGCAGGTCTGGTCTCTTCAAGACGTTGCTAGAGTCGCTTTCGATTGCAACCCAGTCCCGCAGAGCCTGAAGCACACACACATGCAGACAGATCATTCAAAACATCAGCGGTGAGCCTAATCCTTCTGCCATCTTGTGAGATATATACGACTGTACTGCTGCACACTACGAGGGTTCGATGACTAAAATGTGTTCTTGATTCAGTTTCAATCAAGCAATCTAAGATCAAAACAAAACAAGAGGCAAAGCTGTACAGTATGTGCCCCTTTGTTGCATTTAATACTGCCACCTTTTGGCTGAGAGGGGCTAATGACTCAACTGCACTGACAACTGATTCAAATTCTGCTTTAATATAAGCAAATTAAAGGGGACAAATCATGAAAAACTCACCTTTTCAGTGCTCTGGCACATACATTTGGGTATATAAAGTATACCAACCCACAAACTGTGAAATATGACAAGTATACCAATCATACAGGTGTATTCAGGCAGACAAAGAATGTTTTTTTTTAAACATTAAAGTGTGTAAACATGGTTTAAACTCTCTCCTCCAGTATCTTGAGACAAGCTGAATGTGTTTAAGCCGCCATATTAGTGAAATGTTGTAAAGATGATCATGTTCTGTTCATCTTTGTAAAAACACAATATTGTCCACCCAGCTTTATTTTTCTATTTGACCTTGTTAACCTTTGTGAGGACAATAGCGGAAAAAAGGTTTTCTATTAAAAATAAAAATGACAGAAAAGTATCCATGTCGGAAATGAAAAGCCCTTTCATCTTTTTTAACACCTATTCAATTTTCTCGAGTTCACTTTACTCATTAATGTTGCTTAATTAAGAAGTACAATACACTCTAAAAGTCACGTCAGTTATATTTGTATCACAGATCGCAGTCTCACACATGAGTGTGTTTGACATCATGCGGGGTCATTTTCAGTCACACCATGTCTGGTTGCTCTATGGGACTAACAAACTCTGGTGTAAATTGGACATCTCGAGTGCTTGGACTCTGAAAGTTCAGGGCTTGGACTCTTCAATGTATTGCTTAAGGAAGAAGAAGAATTCTATTGTACCTCCACATATTCCTCTTGATGGCTGTCAATGTACTGCGCAAGCTCCGTATACTGGAAGGCATGGACAGTAGAGATGACCAGCAGTATGGAGGGCAGAACTAGAAGATTCATCTGTTGGGAGAGTCAGAAAGTGAATTGTTGAGACAGAGCAGATGGCTGTATTACATCATCAGAGTATATCGTACAACAGAATACTCCCCCAGTAAGGTAAACACATCCAGAGCTGTAGAAACATTAGGTCATGAGTCCAGATCCCCCCCAATGCAAACACAAAGATAAAAGACGACATGCCACTGAACATTTGATCTCTCTACTTGACATTAGGGCTACAACTAACCATTTTATTTAATTGTATTCATTTCAAATACATTTTTTTGTTTAAATGTTAGTTTATAAAAAATTAAATGCTAGAAAAAAAGATTCTCCGAGTTCCAAGATTATGTCTAAAACCCAATGATATTCGGTTTACAAGCAACGCAATTTCAAAGTAAAAGTACGCTCACTGGATGGCCTTTTGTCTTACCTTGTCCCTGCTGGTGGTGTGTGTGTGTGTGTGACAGTTCCTACAGCAGACAGACTGTGGCCCCGTATCGACGCCCACACATTTATATACCCTCCCTTTGGTGTCACACTCCTGCCCCGGAGGTCAAACATTTCCTGACACCATGCCAAGACTGCTGACAAATTAATTCAATTTTTCCGCTGACAGGCACAA